AAGAAAACATTCTGATTAGTGTGGTAAATAGTACATCTTTCCTAATCTTTAAAAAATAAAATAAACTACTCGGAAAAAGCTGACTTTTAAGCCACAACACTGAATATTGTCTTGCTCAGCAGACAGCAAAATTCCTCATGATTAAATCCTATGAGCCAGATTTTTCTCCCCCTCATCTTGCTATTATGTGGCATGGAGCATAATTTTACAAAGCATCCACTCCTTCAGTTTATCTATTGACATTCTGTCTTCAAAAACAAACTCTTAAACTCAGAATAGATTTTCCTCTGCTATTCCAAAGCAAGTATAATGAGCACACCTTAAAACATCTGACAGTTGTAATAAAGAAAAATTGTATCTGTGTGTGCCCCAGATACCAACTACAAGAATCTCCCTCTTTCTCTGAAGTGGCTGTGTTTCAAGACATCATCATACATTAAACTACTTACTATGCAAAGGAGGAAGTTGATACGTAACTCAAAATCAAATATTCCAAAATCCCTACTGTTCATAAGAACTGTGGGCAAGTCAAAATGAGACCAACTGAATTTTATTCCTTACCCTGCCCCCAAACCACATGACCAGAGAAGGCTGGTGAATAATAGTAAGGGAGAGATACGAACTATTCACAAATAAATTATTTAAATTCCCTGCTATCAAGTTCTTAGTAAACAAGAATAAACCTGTAATCCCAGCACTCTGGGAGGCTGAGGTGGGTGGATCACAAGGTCAGGAGTTCAAGACCAGCCTGGCCAATATGGTGAAACCCCGTCTCTACTAAAAATACAAAAATTAGCCGAGCGTGGTGGCGGCGCATGCCTGTAGTCCCAGCTACCCAGGAGGCTGAGGCAGGACAATCACTTGAACCTGGGAGGTGGAGGTTGCAGTGAGCCAAGATCGCACCACTGCACTCCAGCCTGGGCGACAGAGCAAGACTGTCTCAAAAAATAAAAAATAAAAATAAAGAAGAATAACACCCACTTCACAAGGTGCTGCAAGGATCAAATGAGTTCTTCCATGAAAATGATTTGCCTGGTCAAAGAACGTAATAGGCACTCAATAAATGCCAGCTCCTTCCTCGTTTGGTTCTGGGCTCGGTGTTCTTTGTTCTCTACACTCACGTCCCCAGATGACTCAGTCCCCTCCTAACTTTTACTAACAAACGCTGTAAACTACTGTACCAATCAAGGTCCTGATATGTATGTGCATACCCAGTCTATGTGACACTGTCTCCCATCCCTAAACACCTAGGTGAGCAAAACAGAGGAAAAGACCCCAAACACCTGAACCTGAACTGCTGTAAGAACCAGCAGGACAAATCTCCACCCACTTCCAACTGTCCCCAAGAGATCTGAATTGCCATCTAAAAATGTCTGAAACCAAACTCATCATTGTCTCTTTTAAAAAGTAAGCCCTCTTCCTGCTCCTTTTCTAACTGTGAGTGGTGTGATGAAGAATAACCCTTGCCCCATTGTACTCTCACTAAAACACTGCCAAATAACCCAGGCCTCTCGAGTTTACCTTCATAATCTCTACCACCTCTCTCTCTCTCTCTCTTTTTTTGAGACGGCGTCTTGCTCTGTCACCTAGGCTGGAGTGCAGTGGCTCGATCCCGGCTCACTGCAACCTCCTCCTTCTCCCAGGTTCTAAGTGATTCTCCTGCCTTGGCCTCCAGAGTAGCTGGGATTACAGGCATGCGCCACCACACGCGGCTAATTTTGTGTTTTTAGTAGAGACAGGGTTTCACCATGTTGGCCAGGTTGGTCTCGAACTCCTGACCTCAGGTGATCCACCTGCCTCGGCCTCCCAAAGTGCTGGGATTACAGGTGTGAGCCACTGTGCCTGGCCCATATCTCATGTTTGTCCCACTCCCACCACTATATTCCAGGTTAGGGTTTCTCAGTCTCAGCACTACTGACATTTTGGGTACATAATTCTTGTGGAGGCTGTCCTGTGCACTGCAGGATGTTTAGCAGCATTTCTGGCCTCTACCCACTAGATGCCAGTAGAACTGCTCTCTCCCCTCCAGTTATGACAATCAAAAATGTCTCTAGACACTGCCAAATGCCCCTTCCCCATTGTCACCCTCATTCCCAAGTTTGAGTACCACTGGCCCAGTTTCTTACTTCGTATCTGCCATACAAAATCAGCCCCCAAGTTAAGTCTACAGTTTTATTCTTCTAATTCCTGTGGCCCTGACAAATGACTCCTAAAGCACTGCTTTATGAGTCATTTCTTTAAATCTACCACTCCCTGTTACCTTCACAATTAGTTCAAAGCTCTCCATCCAACCTTGATAATCTGGCTTCAATTAAACATTATTCCACAAAGCACCTCATATAGTGGCTACCCAGCAGTCCTTCAATAACACATCCAGTCTCTCTCTTTCTGTTCTACTGGTGTCACCCTGGTTGGAAGTCCATGACCTAGCACCCAATCCAGATCACTAAAAGAGTCTCATTCCCTAGCCTCTCTGCCACTCAAAGTCAGAAACTTTTCAGTGGTTCTCCATTGCCTGCTGAAATATCGTACCTACTGCCCTTCTTCAGAGTCTTTCCTAATATGGCCTCTTTCTAATTTTATGTTCCGTTATCCTGAAAGCACTAGTCCTTGAAAAGGCTCCTACACTTTCCACTTTCGATCACATTTTTTCTCTGCCTGGAAGCCCTCATAATTCCACTCCCCTCACTCCACCCTAATTTAAAGTCCATCTGAATTAAGTCAAAAAGCCTTTCTTGGTCATACCTCCTTTGTATTTACATAACACTTGGCACCTCTCCTATGGCATACATTCTACCTTATGTTATACATGAGTACTCCTGTAATTGACAAGATCCTTAAGAGCTTCTTACTCCTCTTCCGATGCCTGCAATGCCTAGCCCAGTGTTAAGCAGAGAACTTGGTACTAGATATGAGCTTCCCCAAATGTTTCCCACTTAGATAGCAATGGAGGACTGTTTTCAGATAATCCCAAACTCCCTTAAGGGAAGTAAGCACATATTCTCCTTTTGTCTCATATGTCTATGTCTTAGACCAATTTTTAAGTAAACTGCCTTCAAGATATCTGGATTGCTATTTAGTATACATTACTGTAGAGTTCTGCTTCAGGGAGTTCCAACTTGTAACTGAACCCTGAATATTTAAGCTCTCTCTTTATGCCAAAAGACAATGGAAATTTATTTTTTGAATGTTAATAAAATTGAGCAAAACATAAAAATAACTTGCATTGGATTAAACATGTTTCAAGTAAAGATTCATTAGTGCTGATGTGTCTGTCCTAAAAATTACATTTCAAGTTCTAAAGTCTTTGCGTATCATTAAAAAGACTGAAAGTTTTATTTCAACTCCTTCTCACCTCAAAGACAAACCAAAATAGAACACAGGCTTTTCCTTAATTTTATTTAGATCCTAACTTGAAGGTATATTCTGTTATTTCCTCAAAAGGAGCAAAAAGAGGATCATTAATGAGCATGTTCTGACCAGATCTTTAAGTCCTACTCCAAAGTTGTAAGAGGAGAGTACCGTAGACCACACTACCAGCACCCTCTGTTAGCAGACCACAGAATCAGTTTTGTATGTCTCTGAGCTAAGAATGGTTTTACATATTTGTGTTTTGTAAACACAAAAACAAAGAAGAATATGCAACAGAGAGCATATATGGCCAGCAAAGCCCAAAATATTTACTATTTGTCCCTTTTCAACAGGATGAAATTGGACTCCTTGTTGCCCTTCACTGGCACGTAAGACACCCCAATTTTTCCTCCCAAGGTTTTAAAAAAGCAATATAAAACACAAGAACATGTAAAAGATCGAACTCGTTCAACTTAGTCATAGTTAATGCGGACCTAACTTCTAAAACAGAGGCCTGTGTGTGGACATTTTTATACTTCACAGAATTTTTGTTAGAAGAAACTTGCCTTCATTCTGTGGATGAACATACTTATGCTTGAAAAGGGAAAGTGCCTGACCCAAAGTCATATTGCTGATTAACAGCAGAGTAGGGTCAAGGACCTAGCCCTCAAAACCCTGGTCCAATGCTCTGCAGTCCACTACATACGACTACACATGTGGCTTTAAGTTTTGGAGATGTGGATGATGTGGATAACTAGCTTGGATCAATATAAAAGATGAATGCTTAAAACCTGTTCCTAATATGCTGTTTAGACAGACTCCTACTAGCAGCTATGAATCATTAAACAGAGTAGCACTAATGCTCACCACATACATTAGATAAGAATTTCTAGGAAGTCTTCTGTTTTAAAAGCATATATGATAAAGAAGGCTTGAAACCTATAGGGCTTGCTCCTCCAGGGCTTCAGATTAGGGAAAATACGCACTTCTGTCTACCAGCTGTTCAATACTCATCTCCCAATCCAAATCCGCAAGTTCCACAAATGCTTTCGAATGCCTGTTGAAAAAAACTGTTCAGTCTCATACACACGTTCTACAGATAATTACAACTTCTTGTATGCCTACTTGTAAAACTACTCACTAGTTCACATTTTTAAAAATTGCCCTAAGAATTTTGCTTCCTTTAACAAAAGTTTCTTCGATGCCTAAACCGGTAAAACTCACTTTATCGCGTCTTCTCGGTTAATTCAAGAATTAAAAAAACCATTTTGCCCATACTGATAACTTCACTACTCCGCAGGATCCGAAAAGCTCTGTATGCCAGGTTCTAGGATTCACACACATTGACAACCTAAGATCCTTCACGTGAGGTAGCTCTTGTAGTGCAGAGCACAGATTCTCAGGGTAGTGGGGGATACCGGCTGAGGCTCTTCAGACCCCCACCACAGGAGTTCCGTCTTCTAAGAGCCATCCCCTCCCCCTCGGCCGCGGCGCGAGTCCAGGCCTCCCGGGCACCTGCGGCCCCTACCCGCTGCGGGGACCCCGACCCAGACCCCCGCCAGTCCCCAAGGAATCGGCGCCCACTCCCACTCCCGGAGGCTGGCGACTGCAGGCCTGAGCCGCCCGCCGACCCCGGGACGCGACGTTACCTGTAGGACCACGTCGTTGGGCAGCTGCGCGGCCCGGAACAGCTCCAGCACCCGCCCGTTGACCACCACCTTCTTGGTGCTCTCAATGTCGCAGTAGGAGAAGAGATCTGAATAGTATTTCTGCTCCGCATCGCTCAGCGTTAAGCCTTCCATCTTCGCCTCCGGCTCACGGCCGCCCCGCCCCGCATGCACTACTCGGGGCCCGGCCCCAGGACCCTGGGCCGGCAAGGGCTGCGCGTGGCCCGGCCTCCTGCTAGCTTCCCGAAGTCGCCGGCCCCGGCCTCACAGGCGCCAGGTGCGCCCAAGCAACAGGGCCCAGAGGTCGCGAGGAGGGAGCCCGGCTGCGCTCGGCGCGCCACCGCCTGCGAGGCCCGGCGCAGTCCCGGGCTCCGCGCAGCGCGCGCCTGCGGCTGCGGCTCCGACCCTGGCCGCGGCCGCCGGGAGGGTGCAGAAAAAGAGGCGGGGGCCGCGGAGACGAGAGGCACTGGTGGACTCCGCCCCCGCCGCGGGTTCGAGTCTCCCCGGCTCCCCGCCGATTCCCCCAGACTTCCCGCCTCGGCTTCCCCTTCCGTCCACGCCTCCGGAGCGGCAGCGCTTCCCGGAAAGTTGTGGGGCTTCGAACCTAAAGTTTCGGGGGATCTGGGCTGAGCGTGGCCGCCGCTCCGCCTCCCTCCGCCGCCATTTACAGCGCCCGGCCCGGCCCCGACGCGCCCGCACCAACAGTGACAGCGGCGGCCGCGCTCCAGACCCGGATGTGAGGCCGGGAGGAGAGAGCGCGAGAGGGAGAGAGAAACACCCACCAGGCTGGCTTGGCCGCTCCCGGGAGAGGGAGGAGGCCGCAGCGCCCCCTGGTGGCCGGCGCCCGGCGGCGGGATGACCGAGCCGCCCTCTGCGCGGAGACCTCAGCAAGACCCCCGGAAAGGGGGGTGCAGAGGAAAACAGCCAGCAGCTCATTAAGGCCGAGATAACTAAGATACGGGTTGCAGTTTTTATGTTTCGCAGCTTCTGGTCCTAAGCGTCTAAATAATTGGATTGAAAGGGGAGCTTTGTTCAGGTTATTATCATTCTATCTGTACCTTTTTGGTACAAATGAAGATAAATGCAGTATTTCCATCTGTTCTGAAGGGCTATAAACATCCAGGCTATCCCGGAAGCCTCCACGTAGACACCAACATTGAGGCTTCGTCTCATTCGTGCTTTAAGCCATGTTTACCTGAGAAACAAAATATGCTGAATAGAGGGGAAAACTGGCAAAGTTGTCCTCTTTGTTCACAAGGTCATTCCGGTCACTGGGAACTTAATACTCTACATTTATACCGTCAACTCTATCAACTCATGTAGGCCCAGGTCTGCCCACAGGTGCTGCCTTCCTTATTTTCTCCTTTATGAAAATCATGGAGTGGCGCTCTAGGGGATTCTTCAGCTATTTCAAGTAGAATATCTTAAGAATTTATACTTGGCAAATATAAAATACTTCAAAGACGGTAGCTAAGGCAGAATTACACAGAGTTTTGGTTTTTATTTTGTCTTCTACAAGTTGTTTCCCAGAGTGCGGATCCTATAAATGACACATATGAGGAAATTATTACAGGTTCCCAGTCATTTATCTGTAATTGCAAAATTCAAAGAGCACTGAAAATTCAAAGACTTTTTTGTAACCCTTTGGAAGTAAAACCTGCCCTGCAAAATCTAAACTAAGCTTGCATGAAGCTATTTCTAGCCTTTATGGATGTCACTTAGTGTCAATTTTTATTCATTTTACTCCAGGCCTTTCTGGAATGTTAATATGTACACAGTTACAGGCATTCTATTATCTTTCTTTTTTTTAAGAAAGGTAAGAGATTGTAGACCTGTCAATATCTTCTGACTTGACTAGTAGTATTTGATAAAGGTAAGTATATACTATCCATTAAGCTTATTTCCCATCTCTAAGACTTTCAGTTTGCTACAGCAGCCCCTCATGTGGCCTTTCAGGGCACCTGCAGGAAGTGATCAGAGCCCCCCAGACAGCTGCCTTCCAAAGGTGTAAACAGGAAGAGCACAAAGGGGTAGAGATTGGCTCACAATTGTCTTTGCATCTTTTTCTCGGCCACCTTTCCTAGGCCTTGCAGCCCTTGTCTGCCCCAGGGCCTTTGTTCCTGCCATCTAAAATAGTCCTTCCACAAACCATGGCATGGCATATTCTCTCACATGGTTTCAGGTCCCTGCTTACATGTCACCTCCTCAGAGCGGCCTTCCTGCAGCAGCTGCTCTAAAATAGTCCCACCATGCACTATCCGCTTATCTGAATTCTTTTTTTTTTTTTTTCTTTTGAGACAGGGTCTCCCACTGTCACCCAGGCTGGAGTGCAGGGGCATAATCTTGGCTCACTGTAGCCTCGACCTCCTGAGCTCAGGTGATTCTCCCACCTCAGCCTCCCAGGTGGCTGGGATCACAGGCCCAGGCCACCATGCCCAGCTAAATTTTGTGTGTTTGGTTTTTGTAGAGACAGAGTTTTGCCATGTTGCCCAGACTGGTCTCAAACTCTTGGGCTCACCCTCCTCAGCCTCCCAAAGTGCTGGGATTAGAGGCATAAGCCACACTGCACCCAACCTGAATTCTTTTTCTTTATAACACTTGTCACTATCTGACGTTACATATATATCTGTTACATTTTTAATAGCTAATTATTGAATAATTACTAAGTTTCAGGCATTGTTCTAAAGCTTTACACTAATTATCGCATTAATCACAACAACCCTATTAAGTAGGTACTACTAGGGTTTTTGTTTTTTTTTTTTTTTTTTTGACAGATTAGGAAGCTGAGGCAAAATGGGTTAAGTATTGTGTAAGTCATGTTGCTATTAAATACCTGGAACTGGGATTCAAACTCCAGGCTGTCTCAACTCTAAAATCATTACCTTGTATTGCCTGTCTACTTTCTTTATTATTAAGAAAATATTTCTTGGCCAGGTGTGGTGGCTCATGCCTGTAATCCCAGCACTTCGGGAGGCTGAGGTGGGTGGGTTGCTTGAGCTAAGGAGTTCAAGACCAGGCTGGGTAACACGGTGAAACACCATCTCCACCAAAAATGCAAAAATAGCCAGGCATGATGGTGTGCACCTGTGGTCCCAACTACTCGGGAGGCTGAGGTGGGAGGATCACTGGAGCCCAGGAGATAGAGGCTGCAGTGAGCAGTGATTGTGCCAGCCACTGCACTCCAACCTGGGTGACAGAATGAGACTCTGTATCAAAAAGAAGAAGAAGAAAAAAGGGAAGGGAAGGGAGGAGGGAGGGAGGGAGGGAAAGGAAAGGAAAGGAAAGGAAAGGAAAGGAAAGGAAAGGAAAGGAAAGGAAAGGAAAGGAAAGGAA